TACAGTAAGCCTGACGCTGACATGAGCCGATTATGCGAATGAAACATTGTCAGTATGGGACGTGGGAGACCTTACACAGACTAGGAAACAATTTTTCTAATCAAGTATGTATAAAAAGTGTAATAAATTAATCTAATACTTAAGTAACACAAACTACTTCGTGGCGCAGGATGTCAGCAATCACAGCATATTTTTGAATAATTCTTTCTTCAAAAAATCCTACATTTACGACACACTAGGCTACATATATTCAGAAGCAAGGTTATTATGGTAATGGTAATTTTGACATTTGCAATTGAGAATTTGACTACTGAAATGTAAACAATAAAATAAAGATTTTATAATTTCATGTGGATGAAGCCGCACGGGAACAGCTAGTTGATAAGTAAAGTTTAAGACCTTATTTCTCAAACTGTCTTTACCTTCAGATCCCAAGTCAGTCGGAAGGCAAGTAGTGCATCATCAATCACATTTACTTTTGAAACAAATTTCAAGTGACATAACTCGTCGGGACTTAATAAAGATTAAATATTAAAGTTCACTACAAACAATTTTCTACTTTTAGGATGATTTACTTCAGCGAATAAACATTTTTGTGACATCAGACAGAAAATAAATTGTAAAAGAAAAGTCTAACGGGAAAGGCGAAACTCAAAAGACAGCAGTAATTACGGTCTAGAATAACGTTGCTTTAAAGAAATTAAATAACATCGAGGTCGAAAACAAGTGTTTAAAACGTATAAATTACGAGATTTATTTCAATCCAATTAAAAAGCTTTCGTTTCTTGCAGCTTGCATCAACCGAACAACTCGAGGCATTTTATTTTAACTTATAAAAGCATACATTAAAAGAAGAGTACGTGAAAATAATTCGTTTTTTTTCTATGCTACCTCTCTTTAATTTTGAGCACCGGAAAACGGATATCCCTTCGTCAAGAAGTACCTTCTTCCTATAGCACCGCAATCTTGAAAGGGGTCTTAACGTAATATGTAAATTCTTCTTTACATGAATAGCTCACAATTGACTATTATATCATGAGCACGGTATAGTTTAATTCATAAAGTTCTTTGAGCAACAATAAATACTATGGCAAGCATCGAGTCGAGCATGAATGGGTAGAGTTGAACGATCTTGCAAACGGCATTGCTTAAGCCGGCACACGCCGACCGAGCCATTCACAATGTACGCACTGTTTATTTTTATCTGTACTGTTATCGACAGGTGAATGGTAACGATAAACGTTAACCAGTAACAGATTCAAGCCATTAATAAAAAAAAATATTAACAAGGAAGAAATGATGCATACCATATAGCAACTTTGAGGAATTCGGTTTAAAAACACTTCTGGCGGCTGGAAACCAGCGCGGCCTTCAGTGACAAGCTGGCCTAAGAATTGATTTCTTTTATTAATAAGTTCTATAAATTTTGGTTTGTGTGACTTTTGGGTCATAAATAGTGGTTTATTTAATTAAGGAAAATATGATATAAGCAAAATTCAAACATAATCATATATTATTGACAAGAGCTTTCTAAAACTTACACAAAGATTGTAGCGCCGGTTGTAGCAAGACGTAGAACATCGTAGCAACACTTAAGACGGTCGCAAGACTTCAAAACCATTGTTGATAGAAATGCAAAAATATAACAACGAAACTAAAAATTGTCAAAGTCGAGACGGTATTAAAAAAAATTAGTCGAAGAGCTAATTGAGCGCTTGGTATTCCTATTAACAGTTTCATCATCGCCGGCAAAGGGAAGGGAAGGGGAATCGAGTTAGCTCCCGCTCTACGGCAAATTAAAAGCAAACACACAGACTGTCTGTTGCCTACTGATAACTGAGCGCTGTAATAGAGCACTATTGCTATTGCATAGATATTTTTGTGTACTTTAACATCAATCTCTATCTGTAATGTATACTATACTACTTACAAATTAATTAAAAATTATAAGCTTTCACCTGCGACACCGTCTGTGTAAACTTAGAAAAAAAAAATAAGTATGAAATGTTCTATATCTGTGCTAAATTTCACCGAGATTGTTCTGCTATTTGACGACAAAAACTAATAAATGTCCATCCATCATTAGCATTTATAATATTAGTAAGATAAAAAAACAACGAATTTAGCTAGTACTCTTAAAATCTCCTCTATAAGCCCATTTTAAGTTATTTTTAATTTTTTAAATAAAAGTTATTTGATTAAGCTTTTATCGTAATTTTATATTCAGGGAGCAATAATGTAAACTTGATATCACCACTTGTGTCCGTAACATAAAATTGACGGTTACCGATTTGAGCACGACGACACGTATAGCAATAAAATACAGCGTAAACCATCGAATGGCACGCACATTTCAGTTCCATATCACTAACGACCTCCTGTGTTTGTCTCCAATTACACGAATGATAATATCTTTATCGAAATCACATCTGTTTACATGACTACTAGCTCTCGCCCACGACCTTATTCACTTGGAATAAAAAAAAACTAAGTAGCCTATATGTTCTTCCAGATTGTACTCTACGTCTATGCCAAATTATAACGAGATCCGTTTAGCCGTTTAAGCTACAAACTCTAACAAACATCCATCTTAGTAAGATTCCTAGGTATATGGACGGTAAAATACAGATGAATAAACATATATTATTTTTTACTTTAATGCGTACATCAAATAATCAAAGTTGAATTTATGGAAACATTTAGTAATGTATGGACTAAAATAATAACTAAATTTCGGTTTTTATCAAGTGAATAACGAATGCACAAATAGATACCAGCCTATAGATTAACTTTAAAACATTCATTTGCGAGTAGCACTCGGTCACCATTCGTGAATGAACTGAAAGAGTTCTAGCATGAAAGATGCAATAGCAAGTTTAATCTCAAAGATGGATTTCGTTGAAGGAGATAAATTACTTTTATATTCGTCAGCTATAACTAAAGCAACTACGCCCGTAGCTTAAAGTATAAAGAAGCTACGAACTTCCTTTTAAAAAGTAATACTCAGTCGTGGATTTAAAAAGAAAGATTTGTAATAAACATGTTAACTGCTGTTAACACCTAAACAGCTGTTACATGTAAACTACCCACGGGCAATGTGCAGGGTTCTCACAAACCAAAAAGTTTAAGAACCTAAAGTAAAAAAAAAAAGATAGGTAAAGCTCAGATTTTTATTTTTCAATGACAATGTTAAATTACAATACAGATAAAACTACTAAGTGATCATGTTATGTATTCCCTAATGAAATGTACACCGGTGTACGAACATTAGATTCCTATCGTTGCTTAAATAACTTGTAGGTGTGGAAATAACAATGGCGGTTGTATAAACAAATTAAAAAAAGCTATTTGATAATATCTTCGATGAGTATCTATTTGTTAGTAAACTCCAGTCAATTATCTATCATTAGCCTTTGTTTAAGTAGGCGTGGCTACGTGTTTGCTTTTCTTCCGGAACCTCGGTTGGGGTAATAAACTATTTTACTACTTTTTCTTCACTAAAACATAGTCTCTGAAGACTCAATTAAATTTATGAGGCTTTTTCTGAAGAAAACAGTTGGAAAACAACAACAGAAATGACGTTTTCGTTCTATACTATACCGAGTTTTATATAAACTTGCTGAATAAATTTTTGCGTTTTTTGTCCCTGGTGGAAAATACAAGACGTATGTAAAGTATATCCTCATTATGTACAGGGTTTAGTAAGTCCCAAATGTGGTGGAAGGAGAGTCTTGAGCCGTAAGTTGAAACCTTCGAGCTCTAAATATATAAGAAACTTCAATATTCATTTATTGAACAATCTAAGAATAAGAATACTTCGTTGAGCATTTCAATTTTAAACAACTTTAAAAAGAAGGATGATTGTAACATAACAATCGTCTATAGTCTCTCAAATCAATTTAAATTTTATTAAAACAAAAGAAGTGAAAAACAAGACAATGCTGTAATTCAATAAACGATATCTAATTCTAAAAGAATATAAACGCTTAAGATCAGTTACTCGGATAGCTACGCTTTCTTAATATTGAAGGCAATAACAAAGTTATTTCCAATAAGCGGAAATGGTCAGCGGTAGCTTCTACACGAGACAGTACCACCGCTATTTATCTAAAAACAAAGATTAGATAAAATTATGTTAATTCAGTCATCAAATTAGAGTTAGTCGTAAATTCCTTTCAAAAGCGATCAAAACCGAGGTACAGATTTTGAACGTTAAATACATGTCTATGTTCCGTAATATCATATAAAATAGTATATTCTATTTTAATATTTACGTAGCAATATGCAAATGTACATATTATTGACACCTCTATACAAATAACGATAACAAAGAAATGTGGCGCATATTGTTAGTACGAATATCTAACAGAACCACGATTTTAAGACAAAACATGTCACTCAAGAAATGTAATCTATGCAACAATGTTAGTTTCAACAGGTATATTGGAAAATAATACACATCTTTTTTTAAGTGTTTCTCAGTTTTCACAATCAAATAATATATATTCAATTCAACACGCATTCCACCTTTTTACCATTTTACCATTAACTGATATTCAAATTCTATGTTTAAACAGCCTATGTGAATAAATTAACATTTTTACACATTGATGTTACATCGACGATTCTTGAGTCTGGTTAAGTGATAACATTTAATAGTTTGTCAATTGTTATCGGTAGTAACATAAATGCTGTAAATAATATTTTACTAAGCACAACATATTGTTAAGTTCGTGTATTGTTATTAGATCAACATGCTATTTTGCTATCTTAAGAACAAATTATCACATTGTTAGTACGATTACGTGCATAATGTTTTACACCATCACGCTCAAAACAATTATTAAGCATCCAACACTTTCAATTAAAATAATCATGAAAATATTTCAAATAACTGTAAAAGGATACAAATGATTTAGATAATCGAAGATGTGGAACGATCTCTTATCACAAAGAAGAGATAAATAAATATAGTTAACTTGGAAATGTAAGTGTCTTACCGGCAAGTCTTCATTAAATTTAGATCGTGTTGAGCCTGTCGCGTTGGGACGTTCTAGAAGCAGCAGTTCAGTGAGGATGATCACACCGAAGACGGCGAAGAACATGATAAAGATAAAGAAGCTGATGTTGGCGCGCTCCTTAGCGCGGGAAGGAGCCGCGCGCGCGCGCCAACGCATAGTGCAGGCAGTACCATGAATGAGCAGCGGCAAGGGCACAACACTACCGAGCCTCGGGTCACCAGGGCCGCATCCCCCTCGCGACGCGTCACAACACGACGCCCGCTCACACTGACGCAACACACAATGACAGCACTCGACTAGACTTCCACCCGACAGACAGCGAGACAACGGCTCGGGTTGCACACGCTAATTTTATTTATCTACCATGTTATTGCAAAACATGTCACGACATCCTGTTTTATGTATGAATATGATAAAGAGTTTGGTTCTATAATTTCACATTGACAAATAATAAAAGAAGACAAAAGTGTTTTTAGTATTAACCCAATTTATATTTTTTTTACAACACGTCAGTTCCTAGTCAGTTACTTAAATAATAAGGAGATCCTTGAAAGAATTTTACGTATACACTTACAAATGATAATGATGATGTGATCGGTATCAGTCGAGCGAATTTAAAATGTACAATGTCTTATTTGAATCTGATGTATTGAAATGTTTTATTTCACATTAAATATACCAATTTTGTAAAATAACTCATTTTCTAGCAACACAGGAACGTAAGAATGGTATACCGCATGCGCGCCGCCCGCCCCTCGTTCAATGACTCGTTTCGTTGACAACGATTACTGACAACGCAGAGCTTTCCACGAGCTTCGTCTCTAACTCTAAATAAATAATGGCTATTATTGTATTTTGACTATTGTATAAATTAAACACTAAACTAGCTACGAACTACTGACCCACGTTAATGATTTCCAGTATTTAACTTTGTAGATATAGGGCAGGAAGCACAATAACCCAATTACATGAGTTACGAGTATTTGATTTAACATGTTTTTATATCTTCAAAAGTATTGATTACAATATACTAAACAATGGGCTAGTTTCTTTATGTATATGTTTTGTTGTAAAGCTAGGAGCAACTGACAAGGTTATTTTCGCATCAATAGACGCCGGCCTGCCCTTTCATCTGGCTTTTCCACAGCCAGGTATGTATCTAAAAATAAAACTGTATGCGATCTGCTCATTAATGTTTCAATATTTGTTCTATTTTGATGTATTTGTTTGAATGCGGTATAAAGATGTTATAGAATGTTATTTAGATAAATTATAAAACACTTCAATATTATTATTCTGATTAAGTCTATTACCATTACTGTAAAAGACAAAACTTCACTCGCTAATCAACAAAGAATCCTTTTAAACGTATCCGATATAAAATTTATTTTTAATCACTTGTGTGTGTCTCTCTCTCTCCCTCTCTCCCTCGCTTTCGGCCACTCTCTCTCTCACTCACTTCCACTCTATCTTTCTTTCTCTTAATTCCTGTCTCGTTCCTAATGATATATTGAGATTCAAAGGAATTAGCCATTCGCTTCGTTATATTATTTAGCGTCGGTATCCTTTGTTCTCCGTGGACTTCTCAATGAAGGATTTAGTTTATTATAACAAAAGGAACCGATAGGCTATCAAATTTAATGTAGTCCTGTTTTATTGAATTTATTAACTTAATTATCTGCGGTTCACGGCAATGCCTTTATTTGAATAATTTTCGCTCACACATGTATAAAATAAATAAAAAGCTACTAACCCGAGTACCTACTACTAACACAATGGAATTACTCGAATTTCATGGAAATGAGAAAATTTAAACAAATATTTCTGCGCATTTCTACCTTTACAAGACTGTAATCAGACTTATTATAAACAGACATCGGCAATTTTAACTTTGACACCTTTGACAATAATCCCGTAGTTATACAAATATACAATAAATGATATTGTCAGGCAGTGGAATGTGTAATTATTTCTTATCTTCATTAAACTAGTTCTTACAGTACTTTTGATCAGACAGTTGAGATTCTCTCAGAGTTACTCAGATCTAATTTTAATTTGTCGATTTACGATAACGAAGTCGGAATTTTCTGTTAACTAGTTTAACGAGTATATCACCTGCATATAATATGTGCTAATAACCTAACAATCTGTCTCGACAATAACTATACGCACTTCAGCCAAGGTAAAACTAGTGTGAATTAATGTTAATTAACACTTCTACGACTCTTTAGGTTAGTGTACCTTACGGAGAATTTATATCCTTGTATAAATGGAAATGTAAAAATTTATTAGCTGATACTGTATTATTACATAGTATCTATCATAACGATCTAACACATAATTTTAGTTACTTGAAAATCATTGTTTACCTTAATTTTGGTTGAACAAATATAATTAGGTATACCTCAAACTCAACAGTTGAATATTAGTTCAACGCCATCTTTCGATAGAAAGCAACACTATGGAAGGCTTTAAGTCAGACGGGTTTACTTCTTTGTTTATTCCTGCAAACATGAAAAAAATTGCAATGAAACAAAAAGCTATGTACTGTACTTACTAGTTGATTAAATTATGTAATAAAGTATGTAATTCAGCATTATCTCATTCGTGTAGTCAATTATATTATAATGATTGGATAAAAGCATTTTCACACGTCTTTCTTGACATTCTTAGGCTTTGAACATCTGTGGACATCTGTCAGTCATTCAATTCATTGACCATTTTGTCAAATACTAATTTCATCAATTGGAATTCCTGAAACGCCTCTTGCTATTAGCTTCGTAGTTTTAGTTTGAGTTTTTAGTAGCTAATTTTCTAAACCAACGTTCTACTTATTTATGTTTAATAAGAATAAAACTACCCTAGCGATTGATAGTAAGAGTGCGATGAATAGGTGAGCTTTTCTTTATGTTTTCAGGAAAGCGCAAAATATTTCCTTTATACTAATTTAATTATAGCTGTATAAAATAAAGGTTTTAATCTCTTTTATTATTTTTGTTGATTTAAAATGCAGATGTTTAAGTGATAACGTATTTGTTGTTTCATTTAAAGTAAAGCTGTGTTTAATTTTTTTTTCAGCGAAAAAAAATGTCGTCCTATGAGAAGCTAAAACTTCTCGTTTGGAAAAACTTTCTATTACAAAGAAGACACAAATGGCAAACTATATTCGAAATAGCTTCTCCTGTGATATTTTCGTTATTTTTAATTCTAATAAGATGTCTTGTGGACCCAAACTCAAAACCAGATGTAACATACAAACCATTTCTGCCAACATATTTCAATATAAGTGGAAAAACGCTGTAAGTATTTATATTATTTGAAATGTTTTTAAATATGTATTTTAATATTATAATTTGTTGTTCTTATTTAAAATTGTCTATTACTTGTAAATTTAAAAGTCTACATATCTGAGTAAAATTTAACATAGAGCAGTCATTTTACTCTATATTAAATTAACTTGTAAACACAAGGATGTTACATTTAAGCGGAAACCTAACAACTGCAAAGAGAGAGGGAACATTGGCATTTTCACCAGAAAACGCACTGACAAGAAAAGTAACTGAAGATGCGATGGCTATGGTTGCTCTTGATAATCTCAATGGTTTATTAGCTCTACTATTTGACACAAAAATGTTACCTCAGCCAAAAGGATTTAATAATTCATATGAACTGGAGCAAGCTCTCACACAACCAAATGTTATGAATCAAATTTTAGTTGGTATTCAATTTGATGATAATATGGCAAGTAAGTAATTTTTTGGTATTTAAAACATTTAATTATACTAATATAACATAAATATTTAATCTAATAGAAATGTAATGCTAACAAAAAAAGTTAAACAACAATAAGAATACTTGTTACAACAAAATCACTGCAACTGTGAATATGATGTGGTGTTTATATATCTATGTCCAAATATAAAAGACTTTTTTTTAAACAATAGCAATCACTAAAATTCAATAAATGTTACTGGCTGCCAGAAAAGGAAGTTTTTTTTTAATAATTGTAATAATTTTAGATGCAACAAGCTGGCCAGATGATATTTCAGTAACATTAAGGTTCCCTGCGGTAATGAGGACTCCAATGGTAGAACATCCCCTCAGAGCTAGTTGGAGGACTAACTTATTGTTCCCTCTGTTCCCACGACCTGGGCCTAGAGACCCAGATGATTTATATGGAGGAAAAACTCCAGGTATCATCTAAACAATATATTTTTTTTAATTTACGGTATCTGCCATAACTTACATTATTTTGTATTTTTTTCAACGCAGAGATTAAATGAATTAATCAGTGGAAATCTGTTCTGAGTATTAGTAAATCTTTTATACTAGCTTTTTTATAAGAAAAATGGCTGGTTTCTTATTTTGTATATCTTTAAGGATATTCACCGGAGATGTTCTTGGCTGTACAACATGCAGTGTCACAGGAAATTATAAAACAAAAATCAGGGAAAGCGATTGACACAAAAGTATATCTCCAACGTCTACCTCAGATTGCATATAGAGATGATGACTTACTGATAGCTTTAGAAAGATTTATATCTATGATAATAATGCTGTGTTTTGCATACACTTTTGTCAACACTGTCCGAGTTGTGACTGCGGAGAAGGAGCTGCAACTGAAGGTTTGTACATTGCTCTTGATTTGACATAAAAAAAAATTGTTTATAGCGAAATGATGATTGCTAGCAGTTTACTTCTGATCTAAACCTTTATGGTGTTCTTAACTATGTACAAATTTTTAATTATTATTATCTTTAGTTGTTAAAATGTAAAACTTTTAGTCATACTCCCAGTGTTAGTCATGATTTATGTTTCCGTTTGAGATAATCTCATATACATCAATACATATTATGGTGGAAGGAGGAAAACAACCAATGATTTCATCAGACCACTGTTAACTATTAAAATCCATTACAAAAACAATACGTCTTTACTACATTACTTGTATGGTTATGATTGCATAGGGAAAATGATTAATCACACTTCACACTATCACACTAATATTATAAATGCGAAAGTTTAGATGGATGGATGGATGGATGTTTTTTAGAGTTAGTAGCCTAAACGGCTGAACGGATCTAGATGAAATATGGCATAGATGTAGAGGATAGGCTGGATGAACACATAGGCTACTTTCTTTTGTTTTTATTAATACCATGCGGACGGAGTCGCGGGCGAAAGCTAGTAGGAAATAAATACGGATTACAATACTTCTCATTAAATTAAACGTACAAGATAAGTTCCATTTCTGAATTAGTACCCGGCGACTTTGTATTAAAAGATTCAAATTGTATGGCGGCTCGTAGTAAATTGCGAGCGGATATATTCTGGCGGGTGCTTGCTTAGCCCAGAAAAAATGAAATAAGCGTACGTAAATTCGTGGGTGTGTTTACCTAGAGAATCCTTTGTCCCGAAAAAAAAAAAATATTTTGTATGATTTTTTTTTTTTAGAAATAGTGGGCATGCGTTACGTTTGAATGGCATTATACACAAGTCAATTCGGACCGTATACTGTCACTCAATGGCTGATGTTTTTTGTACCATCATTTTTTATACATATTCTAAATTAACGTTTCTAAATAATGTTTTAGTCTTTGATTAATTCGGGTTCTATTTCAGGAAACAATGACGATAATGGGACTACCGTCGTGGTTGCACTGGGTCGCTTGGTTTATTAAACAATTCTCATTCCTTTTTATATCTGTTATTCTTATGGTTATACTATTTAAGGTGAGAAACTGAATTTTATATGCTGTACAGGTTTGAAATTAATGTCTAATTCTAAGTTTTTTTGTAGACTCCATTCAACTCAACGGCGACTGGTGATAAATATTCCGTTTTAACATTTACGCCTTGGACCGTATTGTTATTTTTTATGGTGTTATTTGTGATGGCATCGTTAGCTTTTTGCTTCATGGTCAGCGTTTTCTTCTCGAGAGGTATTTTGTTAATTATATATTTTTACAAAATTTGCTTAAGAATCGTCACTTTTAATATAATATAGATTTTGTAAAACTGTTCATTAGGTTTGCGTACGTTTTAAAACCGATTAACATTGTTATTTCGAACTGGTTAAATACTACGAGTACAAAACTATTTTTTAATTTGTCATAGGGAATAAGTACTTTTGATGTTAAACCAATACGATACTTATGTGGTCTACAATAAGAAGTATTTTGCCGTACTGTGGATCGCTTGAACGGCAGTTTCATTGTAACTATACTATAATCATGTCAATTGATGTCAACTGCCGCAATACGATGTTTAGTTAATCATTTTGTATGACATAGTTTTTGTTTGCAGCGAACACGGCCGCTTCGTTCATGGGCCTTGCTTGGTTTTCAACGTATTCAGTATTTATGCTGACTCAGGTTTTATACGAGGACATCAATCTGTCCACTAAGCTTATGCTAAGCCTAATATCGAATACGGCGATGGGATATGCGTTCCAAATGATCATTATATGCGAGGGCACTTCTAGAGGTAAATTAAACGCTTACACACTTCATTGGTAATTAATCACTAAGGGATAACCTTAGTAGTGATTTTTTGTACTTCTTGCAGCAATTATGTATTTACTTATAATTTTAGATATAGGTATGTAGTTCAAAAACCTGTATTAATGGATATCGAATTCTTAAAACGCTATATAAATATTTGGTAGTATATTTTAAATTGGCAACCAATTAAGAAACATAAAAAACAAAGTGTGTGTTAGAATCATTCGTGTTTATTTACCGAACATGTTTGTACAGTGATAAACATTTCTCGTTATTCGGAACGTATGGTTTTTTCTATCTCGTCTCGTACGATATTTGGGATTTAGCTATCGTAGTCATTTAGGTACAAAGTACGAACATAAAAAATATGTACAACGTAGTTATTGTGTTTCAATTGTTTTCATTTTAGAACGTCCGGTACAATGTACTCTAACACACACAATAAATATTATAGCAAGGCCTAGGCTATCTAAGGCTAAAATCTAATCGATTCAACAAACTCATGTAAAAATATGTACACTAAACAATTATCATATGTTACCGTTAAAAAATCATTTAATCAATTACTATCTTTCGCCCGCGACTTCGTCTGCGCGGAATTAAAAAAAAAACAAATGCAAGTAGCCTATGTGTCCTTCCAGACTATTCAGATTTCATCTTCAAACTCTAACAAACATCCATCCATCTAAACTTTCGCATTTATAACATTAGTATGTAGTATGAAGTATGATTAGTACATGTCTTCCGAAAATAGTTATTTATTTTAGTAATAAAGAATTGCGGACTCTTAATTTAAAAAGCTCTCGTTTTTTTTATTTTAATGATAATATGGCTAAAGCATTAGGTATTATCAAAAAGGTCGTTTTATAGTGTTTATAAATATCATCAGGTAGGTAAACTAATGTAACATCAAATACGCAGAAACAAGCAAGGTTAAAAACACTAATAAAACCAGTTTTTAAACTGTAACTAATTTATTTTTTACATCTTAGCTTGTAGCTGGTAGCTTGTAGCGCATCTTTAAAAAAAAGTTAATGACGAAAAGATTATATCTTAACACTTTTTACAGGTTTACAATGGAATGAGTTTTTTACTTCGATATCTTACCATGATCAGTTTCAACCGGGCCATGTGGTCCTTATGTTGATTTTAGATACAATATTGTACATGTTAATTGCGATGTATGTAGAGAAAATACGCCCCGGTTTATACGGAGTGCCATTACCTTGGTATTTCCCCTTTACTAAAAGTTATTGGTGTCCAAATAGAAAGAAAAGTGCAAGTAAGTATCATCGATGACATTTTGTAATGTTTATTTAAGTGTTCACAACGTTCAACTTCACGACAAGCATAATTGAATGATTTTTTTTTATAATACAAAGTGGCAAACGAGCCAGCGGCCACCTGAATCCACAGAAATGGAAAGTGACCGCTGCCCATAAACATCCGCAATTGCAGATGCGTCGCCTACCCCTAATTGATAGAGGAGGAGACGCACATAAAGAGGGCATTTCCCCTTCCTATGCATCTCCTCCACCGTCAAATCCACTTTTCCTTCCCATCCTTTCCTCTTAAGAAAATAGTGGATAGGGAAAGGGACTAAAATTGGGCCTCCGGCACCACACGGAATTGCTTCCACTTCACGCCTGTTTTCTGTGTGGTCGTGGTATTACACCGTGCAAGCCGGCCTTCCAGTGCGAAGATTACTAACGAACGATATGAACCTTGAACTATTCATATTTAATTGTATTACTTGTAAGGAAGTATTGATTAGTTTTCTACGACCTTAAACATTTACTGAACAATCAAACAGCTGTGAGTGTTGAATAAATTAGTTTTCATTTGCGTTTTAACTAGCTTTTTACCGCGATTTTGTCCGCGGAATTTAAAAACAAAAAACAAGTAGTCGATGTGTTCTCCCCATATTTTCTACATTTGTGCTAAATTTTCAATATCCATACATATTCTTCCCTGGAGTGTCATAAATTGTTCAGTCAAGTTTTTTATGTTTTTTTTTTAGAAATAACAATGAGCGACGGTGTGGATAAGGATTACAATGATGCGCTACTCCAAGTCGTCCATGATGAAGAGCCTAAAGGTGTACCAATGGGCATCTGTATAGAGGTCAGTTATAATTGGTTGTTGATTCAATCTAAGCGTGGGCTTATACTGCCCGCATTTTAATAAACCTACTAATTTTTGTTAAAAAAATGTGTATATTTCGTCTGTGAACGCGTACAATAACTTATTTAGCTGAGAAGTTAATTGAACGTAAGTGAGGTATTTGACTCTTGGTCTCTTTATCTCTAAAGAATGGTACTCTCTGTTTGTAAGATTGTAAGTCTATAACCACTTTGCCTGGTTTTTTATTTGCATACACGTTAATATAAAATCAGCTTTATTTAAAAATGTTTTAACATAACTTGTTTTTGCAGAATCTCACTAAAGTATACAAAGGCCGCAAAAAGGCGGTTGATAATTTGAATCTCAGAATGTACGAGAATGAAATAACAGTATTATTGGGGCATAACGGCGCCGGAAAAACTACCACTATATCCATGCTTACAGGTAAAATGGTTTCACTAACACTTTTTAACTTGTTAATTTTTAAGGTTTTATTCCAATCCAGATTTTTTTAAAAATAAATACTTTTTGTTTCAAGTGCACTATCACATTAGATTAGGACAATATTACTGTCAGCCGCGACTGTGTCCACGCGAAATTAAAAAAAAAATAATTCGTAGCGTATATGTTCTTCCAGACTGTGTTCTAGATCTGTGCCAAATCTCATGTATATCCATTGAGCCTTCTAGAAGATGCCTTTTAACAAACATCCATCCATTTATCGGAAAATTTCGCATTTATAATATTACTAGCTTTCACCCGCGACTCTGTCCGAGTTAAATTTTAAACAAAAGAAAATAGCCTATATGTTCTTTGAAGCTAAGGATAGTAAGTGTAGAGAACTACATTTATGCCAAATTTCATCGTAATCCCTTGAGTAGTTTGGACTACAAACTCTATTATTAATCCATCCATATAAACTTCTCATTTATAATATTAGTAAAAATGTAACATGGTCGTAGGTATGGTACCACCTACATCAGGGTCAGCGTCCATAAACGGGTACAATATAGTAAGAGAGACGGAGCTGGCGCGCAAGTCGCTGGGCATCTGTCCGCAGCACAACGTGCTGTTCCCCGACCTCACCGTCGCTGAACACATCATGTTCTACTCGCGACTGAAAGGAGTACCTCATAATAAGTTACAAGATGAAGTCAATCATTTCGTTAAATTACTGGAATTGGAAGAAAAGGTAGGCTTTTGTTCATGTACTATAGGTCTCGAGTCTTAGTTTTTGGTAAGGTATGGATTAGTCCAGGCATATAAATTAACTATCGATGAGATGATATTGCTATTGGAATTATTTCCTCTACTCTTCTATTACTTTACTAAAATATATACGCAAAAATTAAAGTTGTCACTTTCTGCTGTAAATGAAATAGGTTTAATTCAAATTGTTTTTTGATAAAATTGCTTTTTTTTAATTTTTTAATTAAAAAAATTATAAAGATGCAAAAAATATATAAAACACGGAAACATGTAAATATTTAGTGCACACACATATGTATTTATTGCAATCGATAAAAAATTAGGTTTTTCAATGATTTTTGTATCGGTGTTCATTTTCTTTATTTCTTACATATATAACTAGCTGCTGGACGCGACTTCGCCTGCGTGATATTAAAAAAATATAAAGAACATAGCCTATGTTATTCTCTGATAAAGTAGCTTTTAATGGAGAAAGAACTTTTGAAATCGTCCCAGTAGTTTTGGAGTTATTTCAAAACAAGAAAATAATATTTTTTTTATAATATTATTATAGATATAATATTATGTGTGTGGTGGGGGTGGGTGCGCAGCGCGACGCGGTGTCTGCGCAGCTGTCGGGCGGGCAGCAGCGGCGGCTGTCGGTGGGCGCGGCGATGTGCGGCGCGTCGCGCGTCGTGCTGCTGGACGAGCCCACCTCCGGCCTCGACCCCGCCGCGCGCCGCTCGCTCTGGGACCTGCTGCAGAAGGAGAAGAAAGGTACATACAAATACCCTTACATGGAATCGATAAAAAAAAATTATAGAGGCATAGTTGATACTTTGTTTTAGACATTTTTCAAATATCATCATATCCTTAAAACTACACGTCAATATAATATGTAATATGATTTAAAATAAATGCCAATAGGTGTCATAGAATAATATTTAAATGTGTATATTTTATTTTAAAACAATAATTTATTAAAATTTTGTGAAAATGCTTTTGTAAAAATTGACAAAGAGAAAGTACAGGTGAAAAAATGTTTTGTTCACTATACCTCGTCTATGTACTATTGAAAAATCTTTAATTTCTACTTATTTCTCTTATCTATTGTACATACAATGTGTATAAATCGTTTGTTAATCAGTAATTCTTTAATGATTTTTTTTAGTAACTCTTAAGTAGCATATAGAATGCATGTCTACCATATAATCTAGACTTTAATTGGCTACCGTTAATTTTGTTCCTTTCCATTTAATAAAATTAGAGTGTTTATATGTAAAATTAAAAGACATATTTCAGATTTCGGGAAAAAAATATGTTTGTGCTTCTGATTACGAAAATCGCATTTAAAAATTTTTGTATGACACAAATATAAATCAGAATGACAAGGACTTATAATGATTATTATCTTAAAGTGCTTGTATTAGTTGATTGTTGTATATCAGGTCGTACAATGATACTGACGACGCACTTCATGGACGAGGCGGACGTGCTGGGCGACCGCATCGCCATCATGTCGGGCGGCAAGCTGCAGTGCGTCGGCACGCCCTACTTCCTCAAGAAACACTACGGCATCGGGTACAAGCTCACTATCGTCAAGAAGGACGACTGCGATGTTCTAAATGTTACAGCCTTCTTCAAAAGACATGTGCCTGATATCAGAGAAAACACTAATATAGGTTTGTTAACTGCAAACTTAACTATACTAATATAAAAAGTGGAAAAATCTGTATATTTTTATGTATTGAAATAACTCAAAAACTACTAGTTCAATTTTAAAAATTCTTTCATCGTTAGAGACGTAATTTATTATTTTTAACGTCATGCGGTCGAAGTCGCGAGCAACAGCTAGTAACTAAATATTTTTATTGTTTACTGGCTGTTGCTCTCGTTTTCGCCCGCGTAAAAAAATGAAGCAGTAACGTAATCTGTTACTCGCAGATAATAAAGCTTTTTAATGGTGAAATAGAGTAGTTTTTGAGTTATATCTATACTTACAAAAATCCAATAATCTCATATTAGTATATATAGGCATAGATAATATTAAAAAACTACAGAAATATTTGTGGTAAATGTTTAACTTTCCATTTTCTATAGGGTCTGAATTAACCTACATATTGCCGAATGACCATGTCAGTAAATTTCCCGACATGTTGAAAGAATTTGAACAGAAAAGAGAGGAAATGAAAGTGTCCAGTTATGGCCTCTCCGTCACAAGTCTTGAAGAAGTTTTTATGAAGTAAGTAGTTTCAATTTTTTTTTATTACTTAGTTAACCCTTAAATACATGTTTTTTTCTTTAAAATACCGTAAATTGAAACGTGTAGTAAATCTTATCTTACTTCTTACTAATATAATAAATGCGAAAGTTTAGGTGGATGGATGGATGTTTGTTAGAGTTTGTAGCCTAAACGGCTGAAAGGATCTCCATGAAATTTAGCATAGACGTAGGGTATAGTCTGGAAGAACACATATGCTAGTAACTTTTTTTTTTTTTAACACCTCGCGGACGGAGTCGCGGGCGAAAACTAGTTTAACATAAATTAAAGAAAAAATGTTTTTTCAAAATAGTTTATTTAATAAGGAAAAAGACTAGGTTAACTAATTAAATTAATGCTTTTATATATGTAATATATGATTATTTCATAAAACAAAAGTTTACTTTCATTTTAGGGCTGGTGTAGAAGATAATACAGAAGTTTCCTTGGCGAAAAAAAATAATCACGTAAATAGAAACGACGCTGCAATAGTACCACTTGAAAATAATCAAAATAATATAGGTATGAGTACAAGAATATATTTAATTCATTAAAACACATACATACAAGTAAATAAGCGAATATTTCTCGTATAACTTTTTTAATTAATAAAATTTCTTTCAGTGACAAACGAGCCAATAGAAAAAGTGAGAGGATTTAAATTACTTAAGAATCATATAAAGGCGATGTTTTTGAAGCTGATATACAATACGATGAGGAACAAATTGGCAGCTCTAATACAATTTATTACACCCATTATAAATATCACGTTATCAGTGATTATAGCGAGATCGTGGAAGTTTATATCACAGTTGCCAGCGCTAGAGTTAAGTTTAAAAAGTGGCTTCAGAGCGACAGAAACATTACTATCACAAGATGTGAACGTGACGGCCAACAGTTTAGAAAACAAAGCGATGCTGGCTTATAAAGATTATTTCAAAACGTCGGATTATCCTGGTATGACCGTCAATGATATAGGAACTATGAATCTCGGGAAATTTTATATGAAACTGGTAAGTTTTACTATATTTGACCTCTACCTTACTTGATTGTATTAAAATATCGTTGTCTCTGTTTAATTAATGTTAAAGAAAGAGATGACAATAAAAAACTAACTATTCCGACAATTAGAAGCCTCGGGCTAGTACTATTGTGGATCTTTCTGTCTAGATAGAATATTCAAAAGCCTCTCGTTATCCGGTATTGCACGGTTCACACAGTTGGGTCACTAGCGTTCAACAAGACTGGCAATGAATAGGCACAGTGTGAACTCTAACTGTTGCTAGTGAATCAATATTTTCTATGACTGGCAAGCGTTATTCGCGTTTCAAAATTGACCAATACAACTGGTACTACTGAGACCATACAATTTATAACTGCTTGTCGCAACTGTCCAACTGTATTGGCCAAGTGTGAACCGCACTTAACATTCCAAGTATATTGGCCAATTGTGAACCGCGCATTACTTAACATGTTCGTTGTTAAGAAAGAGAAAAAAAAAACACTTTACATACTTTTTTTTCAGAGTGAATCGGATTTATCTCGTGTACGGTACGAAAACTTGATCGGGGCGACGTTCGCGCCGCATCGTATCACGGGCTGGTTCAGCAACTACGGATACCATGATTCAGCTATCTCGCTCGCACTCGTCAACAACGCCATACTCGCTGCTCTCTCGCCCGGCGCCACGCTGCGTGTTATAAACCATCCGTTGCCTTATTCTATCGAAAATTTGGTAAGTTACGATATATTTATATTAAACTAGCTTACGCCCGCGACTCCGTCCGGGATTAAAGTTAAACAAAAGTGAATAGCCTATGTATTCTTCCAGACTATCCTCTATATTTAGACCAAATTTTATGATAGTCCGTTCAGCAGTTTAGGCTCCAAACTCTAACAAAGATTCATCCATCTAAACTTTTACATTTATCATATTAAGTTTGTATGTTACTAGTATTGCTATATAATATAAAATCTTGTCATCAATAATTGTGGAAATTTGTAGGTGAGGGTGATGGCAACCGGCAGCAGTATGGGGTTCCAGTTTGCATTCAACATCGGATTTTGTATGGCTTTCGTGACGTCCTTTCTTGTTCTGTTTGTCGTTAAGGTAAGAGATTTTTCTATTATTGAGACTTAATATCGAAAAATCTATCAAAATCCGGCATATAATTTTTATTTGGTAAAATTTCATTTCACGGATTGTAATATTTGTTCTAATCTCTATTAATACGTTAGTTTTATGAAATATCTTTACAAATGTACTAGGAACGCATAAATTGCAGATGATATATGGGATTTTGTTTGTTTTTTATTTTTTTAAAAAAAAGCGTAATATGTACCAGGAACGCATAAGCGGTGCGAAGTTACTCCAGCGCGTGTCAGGTGTGCGTCCGGCGGTGATGTGGGGCGCGGCCTTCGTGTGGGACTGGGCCTGGCTCTTCCTCGTCTATCTGTGCATCGTACTCACCTTAGCCTGCTTCCAGGAGAATACGCTATCAACTCCTGAAGAACTAGGTAATTATAGCTTCGCAGAATGTGTATACAAAGACATTAAAATAATATATAGAAGGGACATAGTGAACAAATATCTTTAACTGGTACTTTCTCTGAAAGGTAATATATCAGTTGTCAAGTTTAGTACCACCTCGTGTCCTATTGATATGTAATAAAACAAAAACATTTAAATATTGTTTAATGATATCTATTGACAATTATAATTATTTTGACGGGATGATCTAAGATTATGTTAAAAAATTGTAGTGAAGTGTCAACTATGTCTCTTCTATATATTTGAATCTCTTTGTTCTTGTATTAAAAATTAAACATACATATCTAAATTTATTTCCAGGTCGTGTTCTTTTAGTTTTAATGGTGTTTTCCGTAGCGACTATACCGTTGCACTATTTGGCGTCTTTTTACTTCGAGGCCGCTGCGACTGGGTTCTCCAAAATGTGTTTCATGAATATATTCTGCGGTGAGAGAATTTTACCACATTATTAGTTTAACTCTTTGAATGTTTTGTTGTAATTATTTTTTTAATAATTTACAGGTTGCATGCCGTTTCTTATAACTGAAGTGCTGAGGTTGCCAGAAGTAGGCAGCCCCTATTATGCTCATATCTTCGATTGGATATTCTCTCCGTTGCCAATTTACTGCATTAGTCGGAGTTTCAGGTAAACTTTTATTAGAATTATTTGTTTAGTTAATTAGTATCGAAAAATGTAATACTACATAAGTCTCAAATCAAATATGTTGCAACAGTTTTATCTTTCGGCCACAATGTAACCGAAACTATCGGCGTTATTTTCGGTTTCGGCCAAAATATAGCCGAAACTTTCGGCCCTGCTGAAACTCTAGTTTTCGTGAATATTCATGCGTTGTCATGGCTCTATTTATAGGTCTATCATCAGTTTTGTATTTTTTTACAAAAATAAATTATCTGTTTAAAATCGTGAAACATAAATTACAACTCTTTTAATCTGTCGATTATTTTAATTGTTAAAAATGCATAGAATGTATTTTCGGAAGTTTCGGTT